TATATAGAGAGAGAGAGAGAGTGCAGGCTGAAGACGGCATCATATTCATGGAAATAGGCACAAATGTCACCGAGCCTGTCCACAACCAGCTTGCTGGTCTCGAAGACGTTGTCTGAGGTCGAAGCCCAGCACACGAGAGCCGGGTAGAGGAGGGCATGTTTCTTGTTGTTGTGGGGTTCTCCCATTCGAACGTTCACAGAAAGATTCTCCAAGAACTTTGCGTCCAGCTTGTCTTCCAGGCGCCTCTAAGACATGAGACGTTCCATGGGCACTGTAAATTGTAACACTAGATGCAAGCCAGCCACCGAATCTCACCGCGGATACCGTTGCCAACTCTCGAAGAAGATAGCACCGGCGCGATAAGGATGCCGGCCATGTTCTGCGGGCTGTGGGTTAGGATCCCCCTGAGCAGCTCAGCGATGTCATTGAGCGTCTCAGCCTGCAGTCTGCCGAACTTTGTGAGGTCGGCCCATACGATGGTAGCAGCCGGCCGCGAGGCATTCAGCCACTGGCACATAGCAGGGTTAGGGTTTAGGGGTTTCGAGCGTGATGGTTTAATTCTGGTTTAGGGTCGCAGGGTTGGAGTGTTCCAGGGTTTAGTGAAAAAGCTTTGGGGCTTGGGGGAGTCAGGCTTTCAGGGTTTAGGCTTCGGGGGTTGAGAGAGAGATGTAAGGCTTCAATACTCAATCTTCAGGGGTTTGTGATGTGATGTATGGCTGAAAAATTAAAATCAGTTGGGGTGGGCGGCTCGTGATCCCGGCCTTCTTCACGTTTTCACAGGTGTCCCGGTCCTTGAAAAGCACGGTCTCGTGGCGGTGGTTCATCTCAATGAAGTTCACAACTGCGTTGGACCCTCGTTTCATCTCGGCCCGGACGTGGCACACTTTGGCCAGCTGGGAACTTCGTTTGCTTTTGCTCAGCGAATCCACATGGCCTGCGAATGCAGACAAATCCCAAGTCAGCTTGTAGCAGTCGGCCTCGAAAGTCTTCTGAATCGACTCCTGGTCAAGCTTTTGGATCTGCTGCTGGTAATCCTTGAGCGAGCCGGCAGCCGGGTCTTTGGGCATGTGGTCTGCCCAAACAGAACAGTCTTGGGGCTTCACGTCCGAAAGCTTGAGGAGGATGTGCTTCTCCGCCTCCGTAGTGTAGTCCCTGGATCAGGAACCAAGCAACACAGCAACAAAGAAAAAAGTTGTCAAGAAACAAGTCTGGTGCACAAGTCGAGTAGCCCTTCCAGAACTTTCTGGAAGGCACTTCGAAGAACGTCCTTCGAGAAAAGCGGGGCAGCACCGTCATCCGTGGTGGCGACTTTCATGGCATCCAGCACCCAGACCAGGAAGCACACACCTTCAAGAGTGGAGTCCCACGTCTCTTGATTCATGCGTGCGTGCACGGCCGCCTTGACCTGTCGGCGCTTCACTTGGAAATGAAAGTGGACCCGCTGGATGAAGCAGACCTGCTTGGCCTTGCTGACCATCATAATCTCCTTCCAGGGTCCTTCTGAGCAGCCCCAGGAGCCCGAGGAGCCGAGGTGCCAGCGGCCAGATTTCACGTTCTCCAGGCTGTAGGCACAGTCCGACCACACGTTCGACTGAAGATGCCTGGCCATCAACAGCCGAACTTCCTCGGAGACACTTGCCATCAGCACCTGAAGAGCTGTTCAGCAGACAGAGCAAGAAGTACGGCAGCAGTATTCCCATGCAGATGAAAGAATCGTGTCATAGCAGTAGCAGCAGCAGAAGCAATGATGGATAGCCCATCAGGTGGCTCAGCACCAGTAATCAAAGGATTCATGTGCACGTGGGCTTCGAGTTTCGAAACTTTTCAAGGCTAAGGGTCACAGGTCACGGTAGTGCGGTTCTACGGGAGTATGATGTCACAGCGGAGCAGTAACACGAACTGCTGCTGCTGCTGTTGCCGACCACTACTACTACTGTCTACTGTTACCTGTTGCTGCTGCTGCTGCTGCTGCGGTAACTACTACTACTACTACTACTACTACTACTACTACTACTACTGCTACTTACTACCACCGCAATTAGGACCAATGCCTTTTTCGTAGTCTTGTAGTTCTACGTACAGTTATAACTAGCTAGCTGTTGTTGTCCAACTGCATGCAGCAATGACTTATGAAAAGGCATTCTGACTCCGATCCCAACCTCAGAATCCTGTAACCCGGCAACCAACCCTCAGCCTGGCAGGTCCAATGCAAACGAACATCCAGCCCAGAACCCAGATTTCCGGGCAGAAGGTTTGGGGCCTTGCCTTTCCCGTGCTTCTGGATTCCGGAGATTGAATTGGGGTGCGTGATGATGGGTTTCTCTGTGGTACACTGTATTGCAATTCTAGCCGGATAGCCCCCAACTCTGGCTGTAGTAGTAGTAGTAGTAGTAGTAGTACTAGTACTAGTACTAGTACTAGTACTAGTACTAGTACTAGTAGTACTAGTAGGGGTAGTGGTAGTGGTAGTGGTAGTGGTAGTGGTAGTGGTAGTGGTAGT